GCAATAGTTGTGTCAATAATAACGCCAATAATAGTCATATGAATAGCAATTTAGTGAATAATAAGTCGGTTCCACAGCAACAACAGCAACAGTCTGTCCCACAACAGGCCAACCCCTACTACCAGTACCCGCCGTCTAGCCATCAAATATACGGCAATAATCACGTGAATGGTGTCCAACAAGCAGTGCCACCGCCAGTGCCGCATCATATGTCGCAACCCTATCACCACCAACAGCAACAACAACAGCACATACCTGTCCAGCAACAGAGGCTACCTGTCCAACAGCAACAGCATTACCAGCAAATGGGACCGCAATATATGCCACAACAACAACAACCCCCTCAACAGCACCAACACTACCAGCAAAGGTCTCAACAGCAACAACAGCTACCGGTGCAGTCAAACGGCCAGTACTACGCCAACCAACAGGACCCGTACCGGTGCCCCGTCACCAATGGCGGCCCTCCCGTCCCTCAGCACCTGTACAACGGGGGCCAGACGTACACGAAATCGCAGCCCATGTACGGGTACTCAGCGGCGCCTGACCCCCAGACCCGCAGTCCCCATAAGGGACCCCTACCGCCCCCTCCCGACCAGTTTCTGAGGGAAATACAGCGCGTTATGGACCGCAAGTGGAAAGTGGCCCAAACCCTCAGCACCGACCTAAACGCCACACCCAATCAGATACTTGGGTTCAGAGATCCGGTGTATTTGCCGCCAAACTCCCGGCCCTCAGCCTACTCGCCAACTATGATCAATGGCAACGGATACCAAACTACCGGTGCTAATATGTACGACGTGTTACCGTCGACGCTGAGTGTGAAACCGGGTGTAAAGTCGGTGCGAATCTCGTCCCAAGTCCATGAGATACCAGACCATAGAGCACCGGTAGGTGCGAGTCAACAACAGCTGATGAATGGCAATAATAGGCACCGATTGCCGCCACCGCCGCCGAGGAGGTCCGATACGACACAACTGTCCGTCAGTCACAGTAGGGTTTGATTGCCCGGATGTGTAGGGGACTAGTATTTTGCAGTGGACAGGCATGTGTGGACTGTGGACAGGGATGTGCCCGTGTGTGTTGTGTGTGTTAGCCAATTGGATATCGAAAAAGTGTTTCATTAATATATCTATGAATTGTTGGATTAATTTGATTAATATATGGATTACTATATATGTTGTTGTGATATATCATTAGTATAACTCTCACTGTTGTTGTGTGCGTACGGGTACTGTACGTACTGTATGATAGCCACCCCCTACTGTTGTTTGTTATGAACGCATTGAACGGATAAACATTTTTAAAGCAAAACTTTTTTATATTTGGTAATGAAATGAGATTTTAATTTAGTTTTTGATTAGAAATTTGTTTTTATTTTAATTATTTCAGTGAACGAGTCATTTGAGGCAAACTTTTTGATACTTTTATACATCTGTTGAGAAATCTTTTAATTATTTTTTTGAGTAAACTTTGTGTTCATAACTTTTTTCGTTACTTTTTTTTGCCTATAATTAACGGCACTTTTAGAGACTTTTTTGGTACTCTAAGTGTTAATTGGATGCCAATTGAAGATCTTTTTTAAATACTTTTTGCTTTTTTGCTATCATTTTAATTATACATACCTTTCCGTACAGTCGACACTCGCTTTAGCGAAGTACTAGTCAATAGTGGACAGGTATCTAATTACAATTGGTTGATATATCTATGAATAGTCTATGAAATACTTTACTATACTATCGCACAAGTGGTTAACGAAAATAAAATCAAAATTACAGTTAAATGTCTATAAACATGTTTAGTATATTAATAGTCTGTACACTATTGACAGTATAATAACTCGTTATATACACGAGTGCTTTGACTGTACTATCAGTCTATCAAAACAGCAACTCATATATTATTTGTAGTTTTCTTTGTATTTCTCTATCGCCTACCTATCCGTCAGTGTAATTGAAAACAAATTAGTGATTATTCAACTATATTTAAATGAGAGCTACCGGTGCTGTCATGCGAGGGCACCGTTAGTTTGTTTGTGTGTTACAAACGGATAGCTATTATTCTTGAATATGTTTTTTATAATTATTCTGTCGATTCGTATCTCTATTATAAAGACCTGTTTATTAGTGTCTCTAATGACTCGTATCATAGGCTTTAAAATATACACTAATTTTTGCTATGATTTCCGAAAATTGAAACAAAATTTTTGAGTCTTTTTTGTTTAGAAAAATGTTTTATTTGTTTGCAAATCGTATGGAAATTTTGAATCAAAAGCTTATCGTAAGGACTAATTGTATGACTATTAGAGAGTTAACTAAATTTATTATTACTATTAATATATTCACAGAATTTTATATTTAATTATTGGTCACAGAATTACAGAATATTCTGTGATTAGTGGCTCAAAATCAATAGTAAATCGCTTTTTAAATGTATAAATAAATTCACAATTTATATAACAATTTGTTTTTATGAAAACAACATTTGTACTCATTTTTAACGACTAAATCAAATATGTTTTGTGGCCAGGCTAACATTTGGTATACTAATATATTATACAGTAATAAGTCTAACCACTAATTAGTTATTAAATTAATTTTGTTTTATTATTATTAATTAATTAATATCTAAGTCATTTTAATAATACTTTTATTATATTAATGAATCGTAAAAAATTTATACCATGTACATTTATATGTTTTTAACATTTTTAAATTAATTGATAATTAATATATCATTTCTATAACTCACTAGTGATTAGTAAATCATTTTTATTATTAATAAATAATTTAATTGAATATTAATTTATACGACAAAAAACTTTTTCAAAACTTTTTATTATTACTTATTATTACTATAATTGTGACAAAATTTTTAAGATTAAAAATCTTAAAAAGTTTTTTATCTAATGATAAATATTTGAATTATATAAAACTATTTCATATGATTTTTGCTTTGTATCGCATTTGTATGGCTATTATATAACTATTATTACTCTTAATATTAGTGTTAAATATATCGACAAATATGTCTCGTATTTGTCCTAAATTTTCATTATTAATAATAATAATCCGATCAATTGTTTGTATCATATATTTATAAATAATATTAAGTAAATGCAAAAATTTATAATAAATAAAAATTAAATAATTATTACCAAACATATTGTCTGTAAATTTTATTATCGAGAGAGAGAGAGAGAGAGAGACAGAGAGTAGTGACAAGTGTGTGATATTGAGATTTAAATAATTGGTTGTACAATATGTTGAATATATTAGAGCACTGGTATGTCATGGCATTGGGAAAGTTACCAGTCCACTTTAAATAGCGTATTACGTATTGCAACATTCATACGCAAACTGACATTTAAATGGCGTTATAAACAACGATGTAATATGTTTTAAAACTATTTATCTGTATTTAATTTGACTTGCTTAAAATAGTCTATAAAAAAGTTTAAGATTGAGAATAGTTTTGAAACTATAGTTTACTTATTATATGCAGTCATTAAAAAGTATTATATTTGTATAACTCATACATAATGTCCATCTATTCTGTCGAGAAGTTTCGCATTTTTGATAAAATCCACACAACTCTCAAGCAATCGGTGAAATTGTTTCACGTGTTTAACAGAGGAAAGAGTGCACTGTTTGTGACAAAAAATGACTTTGTGTACGGTTTGGGGGATAACTCGTACGGCTGTCTGGGGTTGGGTCACGGCCACCACATCCTCACTCCGACCCTTATCTCGGAGTTGCGTGACAAACGAGTCAAGGAGTTCTTCAATGGATATAGCTTTGTGTTGGCTATGACTGACGACAACCATGTGTTCATTTGGGGACACGATATGCCTACTTTCGTAAAGGGCCAGAATAGATTTCCAGCACCACTAGAGATATCGTATTTGAATGACAAAAATATTACACAAATATGTTGCAGTTATTATCACTTCCTGGCCCTCACCACCGATGGACAGGTGTACGAGTGGGGCCGGGACGGGGATTATTATCTAGGACAAGGCGATTATCGGCATTATTATGAAAAATGCGAGCCAACTAAATTGGAATTCGGAGACGAGCATGTTATAAAATTGATATATTGTAGCTCATTATCTTCGTATGCTGTTACTACTGAGGGCCGAGGGTTCAGTTGGCGAAGTGACTATATGCTACGAAGTGGTAATTATGTTCGCAATAGAGAACTAGAAATTCCGACAATAATAGGTAATGTAAAATCGATCGCATCTTGGATATCTAGGGATTATTTTCTGACAAATTCCGGTCAAATATATGATGCCAAAAATGGTATTGGTATTGAGTACAAAGTTCCGCTACCATTGAAGTATTCGTGTCAAGAATTTCAACAATATTATTCGTACAGTGATTTCGAAGATTTGTGTTTATTGATGTATGATAAAATTTATACATTACGCCTTAATAATAAAATTGACAGGACAGAATATGATAATTTTAACGATTACTTCGCTGAGGTGTACGGGATTACTTATAACACGCAACTTAATGTAAATTCATCATTGCCATCTCAAATTCGAAGGTTTTTGGACTCATTTGATATGTTAAATGAGATTGGAAAGGGTGGTTTTGGTGTAGTGTATAAAGCGAAATATAAACATGATAATCATATATATGCTGTTAAAAAGATTGATACTAGTGGTGAGTATATTTGAAATAATTTAAAAAATAAGTTAAAATATACTGTTATTTATGTTTTTATAAAGATTTTAAAGATAAAGATATAAATAGATTATCAACAGAAGTAAAAACATTAAAAGCTGTTGAATCACAATATGTGATCCAGATTTACGGCTCATGGGTTGAAAGTCAATATTTTTACATTCTGTTGGAGTACTATGAATCGGATAATATTGATAAGTTTGTTGAACTCAAACGACAAGTATTTGGTCGACGATCAAGAAGACCTATGGATTGTGTCGAGTATTTGATTTCGTGTGAAATATTCCGTCAGATCTTAGAATGCGTTCAGTATTTGCATTTAAAAGACATCATTCATCGGGACATTAATCCGGGAAATATATTAATCGCCAAAAACATAATGAACGACCGATTTGTGAAGTTATGTGACTTTGGTTTGGCTACAGTTCACAACAAACGAGTTCATTACCGGACTACACGAAAGCATACGACAGATGTTGGTCACCCTAGTTATGTGCCACTGGAGGTAATGCGTGGCGAGAAATACGGTCCCAAAGCGGATGTCCATAACGTGGGACTAATTGGTGGCGAAATATTTGAGTTTGATTTGTTTGATTGCGACTCAAATAAAAGTATATAAAAATACTTCCCTGTTTACTTTATATAAATTAAAATATTAATATATTTCTTTTTAATTTAAATTATAAGAATATTCTTCAAATGGTGTCCTAAATGAATCCGCACATTGTTTGAAAACTACCCTGGTATCAATGGTTACATCACCCAATTGGAGGTCTAGACCGGAATGCAGTGAAGTATTGGCTAAATATAACGAGTGGTCTATCGATAGGGATATTGTTATCAAAGATCCGAAATTTGTTTCCATAAAAGATAAGCTTAAATCAAATGAGAATAAGATTTTCAATGATATTTGCGATTATATCTTAAGTGACCATGATACATCAGTCATAAATAACCCACCTGGTTGTAGTGGCGAGGGTGGGTCACAATCAAAACGCATTAAAATTTCTTAAATTATTTTTGAATTTTAGAAAATACTTATAACTATTATTTCAAATTAATTTTTAAAATTTAAATCAATTATAACGAAAATGTTATTAAAAATTCCCATCACTTGAATTGTTTTATTATTAATGACTCGTATTATAAGCTTTAAAATATACACTAATTTTTGCTATGATTTCCGAAAATTGAAACAAAATTTTTGAATCTTTTTTGTTTAGAAAAATGTTTTATTTGTTTGCAAATCGTATGGAAATATTGAATCAAAAGCTTATCGTAAGGACTAATTGTATGACTATTAGAGAGTTAACTAAATTTATTATTACTATTAATATATTCACAGAATTTTATATTTAATTATTGGTCACAATTAAGTTATTTAAGTTTAGGTCAATTTGCCAGTTCCCATTTTTTGATATTATTGAATTATAGTATCCCCTCTACCATACCCTTACTCCATATAATTTTAAACATTAGTAATCTTTGCGCTGACTATGGGTCCAGCATATCATCCAATATCACAGAATATTCTTCATGTCATACAGAATTTGTTTCATTAGGGCTACCTCATGATGAACTTTAAGTGTACAAATTTTTGCAATACTTAATAAGCGAGCTATTAAACAAACCCCCATCCCATTTTATATTGACCGCGTTTATAGTTTTGTTGAAAGTTCTAGATAAATATTTCGGTTCATAATAAATTGGAAATTATGTTATTGAAATAATTTATTATAATTTAATATAGATTTTAAAAGTGAAGATAAAAATCGATTATCAAGAGAAGTGGAGACATTAAAAGCCGTTCAATCAGAATATGTGGTCCAATATTGTTGTACAATATGTTGTGTATGTTACGGCACACGTAGCCATGGCATTGAGACAAGCATTTTATTATTAACAAATAGTTGTACTTATAATATATCCATTAATATGACTACTTTATTATAATGATAAATATTTTAATTATATAAAAACTATTTGATATGATTTTGCTTTGTATCGCATTTATATGGCTATTATTATCTAACTATTATTATAACTCTTATTATTATTATTACTTGTTACTTATATTACTTATATTATCTCTATTCGGAGATTATTTTCAAAATAATTTACATTTAATTCAAACAATTACATAATATACGATTATTAACAATATAATTTTATTATGATTTCATATGGTATTATTATTAATTCGTGTCTCAACTAATAGTAAATCGCTTTTTAAATGTATAAATAAATTCACAATTAATATAACAATTTGTTTTATGAACACAATATTTGTACTCATTTTTAGGCCTTAAATCAAATATGTTTGTGTGGTCAAGCTAATAATTGATTTATATGATAGTAATAAGTCTAATTACTAATTAGTAATTATTTTAATTTTGTTTTATTATTATTATTCATTAATTAATATCTAATTCATTATTATTAATAATCCGATTATATTCACTCACTTATATTAATGGCCGATAAGTGCCTACTGGGCGGCGCGCATATGATTAAGGACTCACCGGGAAATCATCTAATTGTCACTGGATTTGAAGTTATATATAACCAAGTTTATAACCACGCAAATAGCTTATTTAGCAGAATTCGGATAGTAATTTAGATAGATAGAATCAAATAACACGAATGTAGATTTTTGGTCCAGTTTATTCTGGTTTTTACTACAAGTGTAGCTTTAAATGCAATAAATCTATAACTTACTGTTAAATTATCAATATTATTATATCACCAAGCTGTAACTATAACTATTGTAAATATAATTATGTTATTTATTATTAACTTTTAATTTCTATGATTCTAGTAATAAGATTTACTGTGCTATTCTTTGATTATATCTCAAATGACCATGGTACATTTGTCGTAAATAACAAACCAGGTTGTAGTGGTGAGGGTGGGTTACGACCAAAACGCATTAAAATATTATAAAATATGTTGTTAAATATCTTGCGAAACGTACTTGTTACTATATCACATTCTTTTTAATGAAAAATCTTAAGATAATAACTACCGTATTATTAATTATATGAATCTATTTGATATAATTTTTGCATTTCATGGCATATTTTACTATAGTATTATTACTTAATATAGATGTTAAATATTATATAACAAATGTGTCTCATGTTTGGCCTAAACTACCATAATTATTAATTATTAGATTAATTTCTTTTAGTATATATTTTGAAAATATAATTAATTAATATGCAATTTAATTTAATTTAATTTAATATGACAAAGAAAACCGTAATTATTTATTAGATAAGTATACCTATACAGTATTAGATTTTCTATGATATTTGCGATTATATCTCAAGTGACCATGATACATCAGACATAAATAGCGAACCTGGTTGAAGTGGCTGGGTGAGAGTATATCACGACCAAAATGAATTAAAATTTCTTAAATTATCCTGTTCAATTTTTAAAAATACTTATAATATTATAATATTTCAAATATTTTTAAATTAAAATCAGTTATAACAAAAATATTATTATAAATGCCCATCGCTTAAATTTTTGTTTAGTGACATTAAAATTACTTAAAATTGCTCATGGTCTAAGTCCAATGGTTGTAGCGGCGAGGGTTTGAGACGCTTAAAACGTATAAAGAAAACTTAATTGCACTTGGTTAAACTTTTAAAATGCTTATTACTATTATTAATGTATTTGTTACATTTGAAAGTTTAAAATCTTAAATAATCCTAATAATAAAAAATATTTTCTTTATAAAACTATTTGATATGCTTTCGGGTTGTATCGAATTTTTGTGGCTATTATTATATAATAAAATATTACAATTATTGCTTTTAATATTAATGTTAAATATGATAAATCGACAAATATTTGTCCTAATTTTTTATTACTACTTATAATCTGATTAATTCATTTTATCACATTTTATTAAGTAAATGCAAAAATTTATAATAAATAAAAATTAATTTTTACTAAAAATATTTGTTTTAATTATATTTTTCGAGAGAGAGAGAGAGAGAGAGAGAGACTGTGATAAACTAAGCATTAAAGTCAACAAAATTATTTGTTTATTTTATATACAGTATTTAGATTTAATTGATATATTTTCTGATATTTATGCTCAAAATTATTTAATAATTTTTTAAGGTTCTAATTTTTATATGAAATAATCATAATGTTATCTAATTATAAGCATTTTAATGATAATGTTTATTCAAATATTGTAGTACACAATATGTTATGTATGTTACGGCACACGTAGACCATGGCATTGAGACATACATTTTATTATTAACAAATAGTTGTAATGTATAATATATCCGTTAATATGACTACTTTATTATAATATGCATATTAAGCATAAATAACTAAGATTGAGAATTTTTTATTTAATGATAATTATTTTTGATTATATAAAACTATTTGATATGATTTTTGCTTTGTATCGCATTTGTATGGCTATATATAAGAATCTTCAAAAAGTTCCGTGTTGACAAAATGTTTAATAGCTCGGTTATTACTTGTAGCTAAAATCTGTACTCTGGCACACTTAAAGTTCATTATGAGGTAGCCATGATAAACCAAGAATATTCTGTATTACATCCGGAATATTCTGTTATATTGGATGGTATGCTGGACCCATAGTCTGCGCAAAGACTATTAAAGTAGTGAAGCTATGAAGTAGTGGGTATGGTAGAGGGGATACTATATTTAAATAATATCAAAAAATAATTATAAATATATCACATGACAGCTTACAGTTGAACTTTGATCTTGGTCAATTTTGCCATAGAGGGCCATGTGTTTGGTAAATAAAATAACATATTTGAAAATGTTTTATGCCAATCATATGCGCTAATGAATTCTAATAAGGATAGAACAAAAAAAATTTAGAAAATGTTAACTTTTAGGCGTATCATAAAGGTGAATTGGAGGTTTTTAGACATTTTTCCGTATCACAGCCATAATTAATTATTTATTTATTAAGTTTATTGTATAAAATATACAATTTTAAAAGGTGGTAAAATTATTTTTAATGTGTACAACATTGCTCAAAGTTGTAGCATTAAATAATAACTTTCCCTATATAATATTGTAGTGTCTATTTATATATTAAGTAAATTATTTTTAATATTTTAAATAATAACTAAAATTTCAATGACTCAATTGAACAATTATATTTTAAATTTTATTGGTAATAAGCTAAATAGCGTTAAGTTGGAATTAATTGGAAAAGGTGGTTTCGGTAATGTGTATAAAACAGAATGTAATCAAAATAACCTACGTTACGCTGTGAAAGTAATTAATTATAGTGGTTGGTACATTAAATATTTGTGTTTAAATTATTTTATATTGAAAAATAATTTTTTACAGATTATACTATTAAAGAACTAAATAGACTATCGATAGAAGTCGAGACATTAAAAGCTGTTAAATCAGGATATGTGGTCCAGTATTACGACTCGTGGACAGAAAACATTAATTATTGCATTCAAATGGAGTACTATGAATCGAAAGATCTTCAGAATATTCTGGAAATGAAAAAACTAGTATTTGATCGACAATCGGGCGAAGCCATGGATTGTGTCGAGTATTTAATTTCGTGTGAAATATTTTGACAAATCTTAGAAAGTGTTCAGTATTTGCATGAATTGAATCCACAGATAATTCACAGAGACCTCAAACCCGAAAATATATTAATTGCTAAATATGTAAGGAATGGTAGATTTGTTAAGTTATGCGACTTTGGTTTGGCTACAGTTCACAATAAACGCATACATAATAGAACAACACAAAAGCACACATCAGATGTCGGAGATATAAGATATATGGCACCGGAAGTAACTCAGGGACAGAAATATAATCATAAATCGGATATCTATAGTCTGGCACTAATTGCGGGGAAAATATTTGATTTTGATGTTTTTAACTTATGCTTACAAACTAATTTTATATTCCGTATAATCCAAAATATGTAAATTATTAGTTTTATCTAATATGTTGTATGGTATTAATTTAGTATTATCTTAAAATTTATCTACAGTCCGAAACCATATTCATCAAGATATGGACCGCTAAACTCACCCGTACTCAAACTTAAATACATAATTAGTTCAATGATTAATATTGAATGGAATCGGAGGCCGGAATGCAGTGAAGTATTGTCTGAATATAACGAGTGGTCTATCGCAATTTCATTTCAAACACTTTTCAATTTATTATTTAAATAACTTTAGTTTACATAATACTCTATTCTTATAATTCTTTTATAAAATATTGATTAAATAATTTGCATTCATTTACTTTAAATTCAAGAATGCTTTTTCTTATTATACGAGAATTATATAAAGAAATATATTAATGTTTGCGAGTATACTGTATTTGTAATATAGCTTTAACTTAAGGGTAAATTATATGTAAGGGGTATAAGTTTATAGAAGTGGGTTTCCATTTACAATATTATGGATGTGATTGAAATAGTTTAGAATTTTTTACTCACAATTTAAGCATAAATCCTTTACAATCTTTAATACAGTTCTGTTTGAATATTAAAATTGCACAGTATATTCAAAATTAATCTATAGCTTAGTCGAGTAATAGTCTTATAATGGATGTGTTTTCTAATGCATTGTATTTTTGCTGTATATACTATATAGTGTAAATTAAAGTATATTTTATATTTTATTTAGAAAAAGTAAAAACTGTTTTCAAACTTATAAAAATTTTAAATGTATTAGACAAGGAAATAACTAAGTTCTGTGTGAATAAAATTGTTAATCTTTTGATCAATGATTTATGAATATATGTTTCCCATATGACTTCTATAGCTGTAGCATATTTTTTACAACACACTAAACTAAACTTCCTATACTAAACTTTCGATACATATTGCTTCATATGTTAGATGAATGCTTTCATAGACTACATTAGATTACTTTATGTTTGTTTGAAAGCTAATCATAGAATTTGATAGGCTTAATAATTGATCTCATTTTAGTTTGCATTTCATTCAAAATGACTTAAATATTAAATATTATTATTTTGGCGAACAATAGGCTAATAAAATAAAAGAGAAATTCTTTAGAAAAGAAACAAATAGTGTATACAAACAGAGTGTGAAAAGTGAATGCATTCCTGCATTTGTATTCAATACGATATACAGGTATTGCATTGCATTCAATGCATTATTTAAACATTTCTCTTCTCAAATGAGATTTTAATAAAATGTAACAAAAAAGGCGATACATTCGCGTGTCTGCTATTGGTTTCATTTACTGTATCTAAATATATCATGGGCCGGTGCGCTCAGGACAGGGTATGTATGACTTTGGCTTTAAATCACATTTTGTGGATTAATATTCAATCATATAATCCATTAGTAAATTATAGTATCCATTTAAACAAAGATTTGTAAAATAGGTTACCGTTAGCCTAACGTCGATAGCAATGTACTGCTCATAAGCTTTCATAACTCGCGATAACTTTTTAACTGTAAATAAGTTATCCATTGAAGTGAACAGTTGTT